CCCCCGCAGCCCCGCCCCGCCTTACGTGGTGTTTGACGCCCTCCTCCACGGACTCAATGTTGCACTGCATCAGCACCACCTAGGCGAGGACAAGGAGTCACCCGGAGACCAGCCCCTGAAAAGCCCCACCCCCAGAGGCCTCTCCAGCCCACCATCACAGCTGCTAGGGAGCAGAAATACACTCCTTTCCCCAAAGGACAGCGCCACAGCGGAGCCTCTCTCCCCACCTCCATGGCCACAGAGCCCACCTTGCGGGTCTCCACCTCAGCTGGCTCAGGTGTTGGAGTCTTGACAGAGGGGGGCACAACGGGTGATGTCACCTCTTCCTGCTGGGGCTGCTGGGGCCGGGGCAGCCCAAAGGCTGTCAGAGGGTAGATCCCGTTCCTGGAGGGAGACAGACAGGTCACATGGGTCGTGAATGCCTTGGGACACCCACTGCGGCTTCCTCAGGAAAGTCCACCTTCTCACACTGCTCTCACCTGACGTCTTCGAGGAATTTGTCCAGTTCCAGAGCTGGTGACTGAGAGTACCTGAAGGTGCAAAGAGGAAGAGGATGCAAGAAGGAAACAAGCAAGCAGTGAGTCAACCGCCCCAGAGAATGGTCACGGCCATTCTGTCCAATCTGTCCCTTTCAGACCCTCTCAGTTAGTTACTCACAAAGTCTGAACTGGTTCTCTTCCTGGACCTGCAGGGATTTCAGCCAGTACGGCACTGGTATCCATGTTTTTGGTGATCTCCTCCAGAGCGTTCTCTGGGATCATGTCTGGAAAGCATCAAGAGGACTGTTAGGCAGGAAGCCAGATTAACATCATGGAAGGTATGGAGGAAAAGGGTAACGAATCCCTTTGGAAGAAGAGGAAAGACAGCCGGCCAGTGAGAGTCACAGGCTCCAGATCAGAAGACACGGCCCAGGAGAGCCAAGGGAACTCACGCTGGTGTCCCACGATGCAGTGGGCAGCAAGGAGTTTGAGCGAGGGCACTTCAAACAATGCGGGGTGGAACAGAAGTTCTCTGGCTGTTGGTCTGCGCGCAGGCTCAGACTGCAGGCACTTTTGAATGAACTCCTAGAAGAGACAACAGGGAATAGGGCAGGCATCTGGCAGGACCTGCTGTGTTCATCTTTCTGGCTCTCACTCTACTCTGCACAAGGCTCAGCATATCCAAGAAACTCAGCACTTGTTGAGAAAACATGCCAGCATGTGCCTAAAGAGGGATTTGAAAACTATATGGTTGGCTGGGCACGATAGCTCATGCCTATAATCCCAGCACTTTGGGAGGCTGAGGTGGGAGGATTCCTTGAGCCCAAGAGTTCAAGACCAGCCTGGGCAAGAGAGCAAGACCTCATCTCTATTAAGAAAAAAAATTAAAAAGAAAGGCCGGGCTCAGTGGCTCAGCCTGTAATCCCAACACTTTGGGAGGCCAAGGTGAGTGGATTGCCTGAGCCTTTGCGTTCGAGATGAGCCCAGGCAACTTGACAAGACCCTGTCTCTACAATAAATAAGCCAGGCATGGCAGCACATGCCTGTAGTTCCAGCTACTTGGAAGACTGAGGCGGAAGGATAGCTGGAGCCCAGGGGTTGTTGCTGGGGTAGCCATGAGTGTGCCACTGCACTCCAGCCTGGACAACAAAGTGAGACTCCAACTCAAAAAAAAAAAAAAGAAGTAGGCCAGGCTTGGTGGCTCAACCTAGCACTTTGGGAGGCCGAGGCAAGTGGACTACCTGAGCCCGCAGGTTCAAGACCAGCCTGGGAACCTTGGTAAGACCTCGTCTCTACAATACAAAATTTTAGCCGGGTTCGGTGGTACAGCCTGTAATCCTGTGCCTTTGGGAGGCTGAGGTGAGTGGACTGCCTGAGCCCGTGGGTTCGAGACCCGCTTGGGCAGGCAAGACCTCATCTCTACAATAAATTAAAAATCAGCCGGGCATGGTAGCGCGCGCCTATAGTTCCAGCTATGTGGAAGGCTGAGGCGGAAGGATCGCCAGAGCCCAGCAGGTTGAGGCTGCAGTGGCCAGGA